GAGGAGCTCTCATGTGCACGTACTTTCCGTCACAGCTTATTTTATAATTCTGGGCAGGAAGATGCTTACTTTACTGCCTCAGCAGGAAGAAAGATTCTTCTCCTTGCCCAGCAACAGCCGAGCCAATGAGAAACCACCATGCTCAGCCAATGAGAGGCTGTCACCACCCTGAACTCTCGCTTTCCTCCAATGGACTATGGTTCATAACAGCCCCTCCCAACTTCCTCCTTTTTCTCTATAATGTTCCTCTCCTTTGTTTGAGGGACTTAACCTGTGGTTCTGCCACAGCTTGCTTATCGCAATTTGCAATTCTTTGCTATTCTCGAATAAACCCATTTTGCTGGTAAAATAACTGCCTGTTTTATTTTTAAGGTCAACAAAATGAAAGTAATTATTACACAAAGAAGTTTGCTAAAATGCTACCATGATATAAATGCAAAAACTAAGAAAATAGAAAGCAGTTTTGGATGATTTTTAATATAATTTTTTTCTTTTTCTTTTTAAGACAATAACATCAAACAATTCCAACTAAACAGGATTCTCTCTGATAAAATCAATTTGACAGTAAAATGAAATTTCAAAAACTGCTAAGAGATATGGGGAAACTTTGCCTTAATTCTGTGCTTCTTTCCTGGCACGGCAGGCTGGGGCAGACCACCAGGGCCTTGACCTTGCCTTGGGGACTGCCCTGCACTCTGTGCACAACGATGAGGCTGGCAGTCGATGACACCTGGCCCAGAGGAAGTGTCTCCTGCCCACTTCTAGACTGGCTCTCTAGGGCTGGGGGGACACAAGAGCTCAAGGGCCTGATGCCGCCCTCATCCTCTCTTGGGCGTCCTCCTCCACAAAGCCCACTCAGCCGTGGGCTGCATGTAGTGGCCTGGAAGTCTGAACCTCTGTCTGTCTCCTAAGAATGCTGCTGATCTCACTGCAGGGGATGCTGACTCTGGGGATTACCTTTTGTGTTTTTAGACAAAAAGCCAAAACAAAATCTTGTTTTTCTGTAACAAAGCCAAGTGTATCTGAATTTCCCATCATCCCAAGTCAGCTATGAATATCTGTCACAGCACTGGCTAAGCAGACGCCCAGGGGATGCAGTGGAAGGTGGAGCCGGATGGGGATTTGAGATTAATTCGGGGAATATGAATTTCCAAGAGACTGGAAGACTTTCAGATGTTATTCCAGGCATAGGATGAAGCCCTGATGGTTTCTGATGACCCCATCAGCACAGCACAGGATGGATGGGAGTGAGCAAAGACTGGAGCCAGGAAAGTCAGTGACGAGGTGAGTCCTTCACCCATCCTTCATTCACCCCACCACTCTTTCATTCTTTCATTCATCAGGACATCAATCCAACATCTAGTAAATGCCAGGCACTGTTTTAGGCTCATCAAGGGAATAAAACAAAGTCTCTACCATTATGGAGCTTACATTCTAGCAGGAGGAGACAGACAATAAACAGCAAGCGTATGAATGAGTAAATTATGAAGAAAATTAGAATAGGTTCAGTGAAAAGTAGAGCAGGGTAAGGTGAATTTGAAGTGTTGCACCTTTAACAAGGTTTTCAGGGCAGACCTCAGAGAGAAGGAGAAATTGAGGGGAAGACTTGAAGGAGATGAGGGAATTACTCACGTGGCCATCTAAAGGAAGGACATATATATAAAAAGATAAATATATAATGTGCAAATATATATAAAAAAATATACAATAGTGCAAAGACCCTAGGTGGGAGCATGTCTGGCACATACAACGGACAGTAGAGAGGCCAATATGGCAGGAGTGGAGTGAACCAGGAGGAGGGTAGTAGGAGAAGAGGTCGAGAGGTAATGGATGCCAGATCAAGTAGACTTCCAAGCCACTGGAAAGGTTCTTTCTCTAACTCAGGTTTCTCAACCTCGGCATTGTTGACATTTTTGACCACATGACTCTGTTTTGGGGGCTGTCCTGTGCATTGCAGGATGTTTAGCAGCACCCCTGCTCTCTACCCACTAGATGCCAGTGACACCCTCCCTCCAACTGTGACAACCAAAATGTTTCCTGACATTGCAGATGTCCCTTGGAGAAGGGGGATCACCTCTGACTGGGAACTACTGCTCTAACTGAAATGGGGACACAATGGAGTTTTTGTGCAGAGGAGGGACACAATCTGGTTTACATTTTTAAAAGATCATTCCGGGTGCCCTCCTGGAAACTGACTGGGATGGGAGGCACGGAAGAAGCAGAGAGATCATTCAGGATAGTCCTGGCCCTGGAACTAAGGATGTCACAGTGGACATGGTGAGAAGTGGTTGGGTGTTACCTATATCTTGGAGATACAGCCCGTAAGATGTGAAACAAAGGAGTCAAGGATGACTGGAAGATTCTTGGCCTAAGCAACTGGAAGGATGGAGTTGGCATGAACTGAGATGAGGATGACAGTGTGTGGAAAAGGTGTGGGGTGGGAAATCAGTAGCTCAGATTTGGGCATGCAGAATTTGAAATTTAATTCCAATAATCCAAGTGAGAGAATATGAAGCACCGAACTAGACAATGACAGTAGAGATGTACAAGGTATTTTGTATTCAAGCCATTGCCATTTTGGTGAAAAACATAGGGTTTGTCACTCAACTGGAGGATAGAAAAGGGAAAAAGTTGAGGAAGGCCTTGTGATTTGACAGCTGGAGTGATGCTGGTGGTAGGCTGAGGACGAATCCCTGAACAGCGAAAGAGAACCTGGCACGAGGAGCAGGTGGGAAGGGAAAGATGGCACTCTTACTGCCAATCATATTGGATTTGAGGCGCCAAGAGGGCAGGTGAGAGGAAAAGTCTAGAAGAGAGCTGGCAATGCAGCTGTGGTGCTCAGGAAAGGTCATGAGGCTAGAGACAGAAAGACAATCCCCTCCCCCAGGAGTAGCAGGTGTATAGAGGGAGACTGACAAAATGGAGCGATTAAGGTGGCCGAGAGATGGAGAAGGAACAGTCAAAGGCAATCAAGGAAGGAACAGAGCATGGAATGTCAGGGGCGAGCAGGGTTCCAGGAAAATCCAAATCAGCAGAAACTCAATTTAGCTAATGCTAGGCCACAACACCTGTAACAATAAAGGAGGTTCTTTATGCTAAAGCCTAAAGCCAATCCTCTGTTACACTGAAAGTTATAATTTATTGAGAGGTGGTTATTTAAACTAACCCATGGATCTCATAATACCCAAGCTTGTGAAAGCACAAATAATGTTTAACAAACATAATACAAACATAATCAAACATAATACATAAACGATGAACTACTAGCATATATTACCAGATTTCACTGAAAATCTGTCCTTACTCAAGTCTGTCCTTAAAGATGGGACCACGGGCTGGATGGGCCACAGGAGAGCTAAGTTTTCTGGACTATATGCCTTTGCTATTACTCATTATTTATGTATGTCCTTGGATTTTACTAACAAGTCCCTTATCTGCTGTTCTGCAGACTTAGAAATGTGTGAAAAAAGAAAATATTCTGAAAGCCTTTAAAGAATCATTCAAAAATCATGCATTTATTAAATTACAAGTAGGTTGAACTCTGCCTGATTAACCCATTTATACGTATGCAAAACAGACAGCAAAAAAAAAAAAAAAAAAAACCCCAGTACTCTGACTAAAGGTTACAATTACATTGGAAAAAAATTCCTTGATTGTCATCAAATTGACCCTTCGTTATCTCATCCTGATTTTGGAAGGAAGCCAGCCTTTTGCAATTCCCTGAAATGTAAATTCGAGGTTATGTTGCCGTGTCTTGACTGAGAAAGCTGAGCTTCTTCCTCTCACCCACTTCTTCCCTGAGAGCATGATCCCAATCTGGGTTGCCAAAGGTTTCAAAATGCATTTCTATTAACTGTTTTGTGTGCTGCGACTAATTGCCCCAGTGCCACCAATGAGCCGAAATGCATTTTCCTCCTTCGATCAGATTTCCCCAATATTCCTGTTCACTCATTCACTCACAATTCACTCAGTCTTCATTGTCTTCCAACTGAGAGTGGTCACAGCCTTTCGCCTGGCCCCAGGACAAACAGGGCAGGTTTGTACAGGCACAGGAATGGTGCCCTTGATGCTCTTGGCCTTTCGGTGAATTTCAGTCCCAGTATTGAGGTAAGAATTACCTGAGTAAAGGAGGAAGGGCCTAGATAGCTGAAAGGTTTTCCATTTCCAACATATCTGAGAACAGTGAATGTTCTGAGGGATGTGCAGGGGCAGATCAGGGGTAGGGTCTGGGGCAGCTTCCCTCTCCAGAGAAATCTGGCTACTCCTTTCCATATTCCAGCAAGGCTTTTAATAGCAGAGTGGAGACAGCCAGATTGTCAGAAAAGGAAGAAGACGAAGCAGAAAGCAATGTGGTTTTCAGCGGCTGGCAGACAATAAGTTCTATCCAAATTAAGATGTACACCTTAACTTCTTGTATTTCTCAAACTTTCCCAGTGAAAATACACGAGAGGGGAGAGCACTTACATTAATGTTAACGAGTTGCCACCAAGCCTCAAGGCAGTAACCACAAACACTCAGCCATCAACAATGTTTGAACTTCGGATGTTCTTCTCCACTTCTGGGGCGGGGCACAAAACAAAAAGACCAGAAGGAATTGCGGAATGGAGAAGGCTCAGATTTGTCCACGTGACACAGCTGTGATGCTGATTCCCTGCCTTGGGGGTGGTTGTGACTCCATCCACAGACCCTGGCATAGTCAGAGGGGGGCCCCGTTAGAAACACAATGCAGACCCGAGTCAGTCCTAGCTTGCCGCACCTGGGTTTCTAGAACTGCAATCTCAGATTTGTAGCCCTTACCCTGTCTCCAGCTATTTCACAGCAGGTTGGACTTTCTTGAGTTATTCACAGCCAACCACCCCTGGCAACACTCCCTCCTTAAGGAACTGCCCTCACGCTCCCCTACAAATTCCCTGGGACAGCTGTTTTCCCGTCAAGTGCATATAACCCTAAAGGAAGTGCAGCTATCTGTTTGGTGACTCCCATAGTAGAAGAAGAGGGCTGCGGGGAGCAGGGGGGCGATGACCTACTGGATTCCCCAGTCCCCCGGGTCGTCCCGTGGGGACCCCGGCTCGCAGGACCAACAGCTGTCCCGGCTCTGAGACCTGGCGTGGCGGGGCGGGGAAGTGTGAGGAGGGTCCCAGCCCTCCCCGAGTCAGCCTGCCCGCACTGTAAGCCCCAACTCCACTCGGCCGCCCGCCCTTACCTGAGTTTTTCCCCAGAGCACGAACCTTAAGGCGCACTCCAGTCCCGGTACCCGCTGCTTGCGCGCTTGGGCATCACAGCCACTCCCCGCAGCCCGGGCCACGCCCCTCCCATCTAGGCCTCTCCCCATATGACAGGGCCTCGCCCCCTCCACGTCCTTACGTGCTGCCCTGGCCACGCCCCTCCAGACCGCGCCTGTCCCTGCCTTTCGGACTGGCCACACCCCTCCTGCCACAGCCACGCCCCTCACTCGGGCCGCGCCCCTGAGCTCCGCCTGGGCGCACCCCTCCTGCCCCACCGAGCCCCGCGCTCTCCCTCCTCCCGAGCGGGCCTTGGTCGTGGGAATTCGAGGTCGCGTGGGCGGCCCCCCTATTGTCTCCAGAGAAACTGTCCCGGGCCCGGGAACTGAGTGCCGGCGACATCTTGTCGGGTGAAATCGGATTGCAGGCTTAAGGGCCTCGTCTAAAAAGTGACTTTCCTCGGATTTCTCCCATTTCCAAACTTCAAGACTTGGTATACTGAGTGCAGGTGGCTCAGTAGGGAAACGCAAACACTGGACGAGTCATGCAGCTATGTTCCTTCCCGCTAGTTTTAATGTCCACTTTGCCTGAGTTTCTTCGAGCCAGTTTTCAGGTCATCTAAACGAGAACCGGGAACCCGCGTTCTTCCTAGTGCCTCAGCCGACCTTAAATGCTAGGCAGATGAGCGGAGTAAACCGAAGTCCCTTATTGCCTGATGTCTCCTCCAGATGACCTTTCCTAGGCACCCAGTGAGCCCTTGCTGTCTAGGGCCTGTTTGACAACACCACACAGACTGAAACGCCAGCTGCAGCCCCGCGTGCGCTCTGAGGTTACTCTGCTAGCCTTACTCTCCATTTACAACTCTGGGTCCACAAGAAAAACGTGAAGAGGTTATAACCAGCTTTTCTACTCCTGTACGGAAATCTCTGATTCATTCATTCAAATCATATTTATTGAGTACATGCTCCCCTGACAAATAAGACAAGCCTCACAGGGCCGGTGGGTGGCCTAGCGGTTAAGTGCAGGCACTCAGCTGTGGAAGCCCGGCATTGGGATCCCTGACACATACTGACGCACTGCTTGTCAGGCCATACTGTGGCGTGTCCCATATAAAGTGGAGGAAGATGGGCACAGATGTTAGCCCAGGGCCAGTCTTCCTCAGCAAAAAAGAGGAGGATTCGCAATGGAGGTTAGCTCAGGGCTAAAAAAAAAAAAAAAAAAGATAAGCCTCACAGAGCTTACAGTCTGAAGTTGTCCCAGCTTGGGTTTGGATGTGACAGGAAATGATGAGAAAGTTAGAGGATGTGGCAAGGGGTTGATAGGTGGAAAAGGATTTGGTAATCACAGGTCTTCTTGATTTGATTAGTAGGAATATTTTTGGGTAGCAAACATAGAAGCCACTTTTATAGGACTTAGCACACTTCTTTACATAATAAATTCTCAATAAATCTTCATTGAATATCTACTCTTTTCACTGGTGTAGAAAGATAACATTTCCCCTTTTGTAGCAGTAACATTTGCTACTTTTATTTCTTCATATGCCAACAATGAAGGTTTTATGATAGCATATTTTTTCTTCTCTTCCCACCCTCCATTCCATTTCCGGCTTGAAGATAGTGGGAATATTCAAAATGTTGCGCTAGAAGGAACACAGAGAAAAGAATCTGTTTTAAAAGAACACTTTTATTAAGCTCACCCTGACCCTGAGAACCCTGCCTCATTTATAAAATGTTTCAACTGTCAGTCATTTTTGCCTGAAAAATAAACTTACAGAAATTGGTCCAAATACAGCCTGTATAAATTACTGAGTTGATTTTTATACAGTTAGTTCTACCTCTCTTCCTTCCACAAATGATTTGAGGCAGCTTACTAAAATATAGACATTACTGGATAATAGAAATAGTTGAAGGATCCAGGGAAGGGGAAGTTAAAGACAGGGGAATAATGCAGCCAATGATAAGAATAGCATTTAAGTATGCAGGCCATCTGATCCAAAACAGTTGTTTAAGCTGGGCCAAAGATTTGCCCCTAAGCTTTTGAATGGCAACAGAAAAGAGGAAATAGCAATCATTTTAAGGTTTTCCAGTGTTCATAAGATCAAAATCAATTTTTTGTTTTGTTTTTTTAGAAACATAGTTTTTCTTGAATTTTAGTCCTGAGAGAAATCCCGCTTCCTCGTATAGATGATGTAGTGAGCTCAGTGGGAAAGAAGTGTCGACAGGAGTTAAACACAGTTCCCCTCAGTGTGAGCTGTTGGCACAATCACAAAGCACAGTGCATTAAATCAACTCCATGAACCATCCAAATGTTTCTATTCATCCAAGTACACAGGGTCTCAATGGTCTGGCTTAATCCAGGGTCGCATTTTGATAATCTTTCCCCAGGGTGGCAAATAGGTTTCAATTCATATGTCAACTTTGAGCTATTTGTAGTGGCTGCCTGAATAACTTTGTTGAGTTTTGTGGCTTTGTCTAGGCTCGGAAGCAAAAAGTTCTGTGATTGATTAACAATGTCTGTCATGGGTGCAGAATGGGTGAGTGGCTGTGTGCAAAAACCTATCTGGTATTTCTGATGTGTAGAAATAGAGGGCTTGCATGCAGGGCTTTGTGTAGTCACTCCAAATCAACAGTTCTAATTATAGGGCTTTTGATAAATATCCGAGAGTAGAGAGTTCAAGGTCCCTCTCTCACTCTGTCCCACCCACACTGATCTTCCCCTGTCCATTCCTATCTCAGAACATTTTCCTTTGCTGTTTCTGTTGTTTCGACCACTCTTTGTTTAGATTTACATGGCTGGGTTTTTCTCATCATTCAGTTCGCAGCTACAATGTCAACTCTTTAGAGACATCTTTCCTGACAACCATATCTGAAGTTGTATCCAGAGCCTTTCAATCTGTACTTGGCATAGAGATCACGTTACAGTGCAGACTCTGACTCAGTGGTTCTGGGATGTGACCTGAGATTCTGCATTCAAGCAAGCTCCCAGGAGATGCAAACCTGATGTTCCACAGAAAGCACTTTGAGTAGCAGCCCCACCTCTCCATCTCTATCACATTATCTGTTTCATTTTCCTCATGGTGTGACTCACGATTCGAAATTATTTATTTACCTGTTTGTATATTGGATTGTTTGTTGGTTGGTTGTTTACTAGAATGTAAATTCCATAAGAGCAGGGACTTTGACCAGTTTGCTCAACTTTGTATTCCCAGAACTGAACACAGTTCCTGGTACATCAGTAGATGCTCCATAAATATTGCTGAATGAATGATGCTGTTCAAGATTCATTGATTCCCTTATCTCTTTAGTCCCTGCTTACTGACTACTTCAGTGACTGCTAAGTTATACACCAGGAACTAGACTATAAATGAAACAAGACAGTGCCACTCAAGTGCCAGTCTATGAACTGCTAGTTACTGGTCCAAGCTGAGATAAGAAGCTTGAACTAAAATGTAAATCTGATATGTCACTAGCACAGTGTTTAATCAGGATGACATTGTTTTTTCATAGCAAGGCTTTCTTGATGAAGGAAGCAATGAGTTGTTTTCCCTTCTGGGGCAGGGTCCTCTTCTAATCCTAGACAGGTAACAGTGTGAGAACTGGCCCCTGCTGCTGGGACACATTTTGAGTAGCACTGATATAGAGGATAAAAATATATAATGTTATATAATGCTTATATATTATACATTTGTATTTTTTTCATCTTCTGAAAACTAATAGGCAGGTAGAAATACACACTTAAAGACACATTTACAAGATTTTTCATCACTTTCTACAATAAACAACTGTGAGAGAGAACAGAAAATTGTAGGAGAGAATGGATAATTATAGAAGAGAATGGAGAAGTGTGGGAGAGAACATGGAATTTTGGGAGTAAAGGAAGAATTGTGGGAGAAAAATAATTGTGGGATAGAAAAGAATGATGAGAGAGGGAATTGTGGGAGAAAATGGAAAATTGTGAGACAGAGAAGGACCTCTGGGGGAGAATGAAAGATTGTGGGCAAAAACAGAATTGTGAGAGAGACAAGGAATTTTGGGAGACAAGGTTTGATGGTTAGTTTTATGTGTCAACTTGGTTGGGCCACAGTACTCAGATATTTGGTCAAACATTATTCTAGATGTTTCTATGAAGGTGGGTTTTTTGGGGGATGAGATTAACATTTAAATCAGTGGACTCTGAGTAAAGCAGATTACCCTCCATAATGTGGGTAGGCCCCATCCAATCATTTGAAAGCCTTAAAAAAAAGAACAAAGACTGACCTCTCCTGGAAGAATTCTGCCAGCCAACTGTGTTTGGACTCAATTCAACTCTTCCCTGGGTCTCCAGCCTAGCAGCCTACCGTGCAGATATTCAACTTACTGAGCCTCCACAATTGTTTGAGCCAATTCCTTAAAACAGATCTCTCTACATATACATATGTATATATATCCTGTTGGTTCTGTTTCTCTGGAGAACCCTGACTAATACACAAGGTATTGTGGGAGAGACTGAGAATTGGCCCCTTACACCTTGGCCTCGCCACCTCAGCTCAGTTCTAGTTACCACCCCACCGCATGCCCTCAGCCTTAGGACATTCCCTTGGCTGCTCCTATGTTCCTTCGCGGCCATTTCTATCCCTCTAGAGTCGTGCCCCTCCACTCTGCCTGACCAAACCTTTCTCATCTGAGCCACTACCCTTCCCTCCTCCCTACTATGCTCCTACTTTTCCCAGCCAATCCTTGTGCTCCACCTTGGCCACCACAGCCTGGGCAAGCTCCTAACATTCCATCTAGACCATGTCCTTTTCCCTCTCATCACAGTAAGCTATCTCCTCTGATCAATGTGGTGACTACACAGCTACAGCCAGAGCCATGCCCCCTGTATGCCTTAATAGATATGCCCACTACCAAGACATCACAAAGAATTTTGGGAAACAGACAATTGTGGGAGAGGCAGAGAATTGTGGGAAAGGAGCACTGTGGGAAGAAATAGAGGATTTGAAATAGAGAATTATAGGAAAAAAAACAAGGATTGTGAGACAACATGGAGAATTGTGGGATAAAACAGAATTGCGAATGAGAACAGAG